ACAAGTCCTGGATCAAGATATCCACCATCTTCATCACAAGTTGTTCGTAATGGAGCTGCTGGCTCAGCTGTTGGTTATGCTTCACCACAAACTCAATCAGCATTTTCTGCTTATCTCAATTATATGACCCCATCATCAGCTGCTGCTGCAGCTGCAGCATCAGCTTCATATGCCAATCAAATGCCACGTGTACGTGGACCATCACAAATGCCAAGTATGTAAAAATCAAATCTTTAAAAAAGAAAAATATTTTTGTTTTTGAATAAATATTTAGATTATTTGAATCCATTATCATTTTTACCTCAACCAATAGTTGATCCAAATCAACAACAAGCAAATGTTTATTCTCATCATCAAATGTTAATGTCATCAAAAAATGGCTCAATAATGAATGGATATCCATTACAATCTCAACAGTAGTCATGATTATTGATATATAACTTAAGCTTTGATTATTCTTGTTGTTTGATGTTGTTGTTTTTTTTTCTTTTCTCTCAGTTCACATTTTTAAATTCATTAAATATTTGAATATATGTGTTGTGTAAAATTATTTAAAATTTTCATTGATTTATGAAGACTATTCGATCACACGAGAATGACAGATCATTTATAGCTACCATTTAAATGATCAATGATTAAAATAAATAGGTTTGTTGATATGAAAGTATACAATTGAATGCATCGAGTACAAACGACGCCTTAGAGGCGACGAACAACATAATCAAAGATGGTAGAATGTTTAGAGAACATAGTATTTTATTCAAGAGTTTTAGAACCAACAATATCTTTATAATATTTGTTGGATGAACAAATATCTTGTGCGTATGACTATTTATTTTATTATCAGAGAAATACCCATTAATGATCCAGATTCAGTTCAACATAAAACTCGACAATGATTATTGATTATTTCATAAATGTATATGAAACTCGTTTAGTATGACAGTGCCACACTTTTATTATCTCCGATTCCAACATTTTCACATTGAACTAGTCTCCTTGGAAATTTTCATTTATGCAATATTTGAACTCAAACGTCAATTTTGACGAGAAGCTATGGTATGTATGTATTGAAAAACTCACTAAAGTAGTCATAACTCAAGAAAAAAGATCCATGAGCACGAATCCGTTTTGCATTTTCTCTCGTCTGAATAGGATCTATCTAATAAGGTACGATTAAAGAGAAAATAGCGAAAATCCTGTAGTTCAACAATATATCGAAGCTATTCGCAACTACTTTCTATCTATTTCAAGTCTACTATCAATACGTGTTACGAGCATATCAGTTTGAATTCAGTCTAGATAAATATTTCCGATAATAAAACCCAAATGCTTTGAATGATGGTCAGGTATCGATAGCTTATTGCTAGATGAACTTTGTAAAAACGAATTCATACTAATATGCTGGTTACCCATACCAATAGTAGACTTGAAATAGCTAAGAAGTTATTAATGATAGATTTGACATATCTTACGAGGAAACATTGCCAGTTGTAACTCGCGTTTTGAGCTCACGATAAAACTTTAAAAATTGTAAAGACAGTTCGTCTTCATGGATCTCTGAAGTCAAGTTATGGCCATTGTAGTGAATTTTCAACCTAAATTTGTGACATATCTGTCATCAAATGACTATTTTTTGGAACTTCAATATTTGAAAAAAAAAAAGAATATTCTTTTGTGACTGAAACTTTTATGATATTTTAAACGTCATTAGATTTATCTATGGGGACAGTTGTAGGTGAAAAATTCATTAACATGGCTATAAGTCGACTGCAAAGTCCCATGAAGCCAACCCTCATGTTAGGTTTTTATTTGTTTTTGAGACTTTTTGTTAGCTCCCATATGAGCTCCAGCGCTAGGTTACAGTTGGCTTGGATCTCATGTTAGCGAACCGAGATGAACGGGGTGTGATAAAGCACTATCCCACTGCGAGATTTAGCGATTTCCACTTAATCTGAAAAAGCTTTTCTTTTTTTCAAGAAACATAGCTAAATCTATAAAAGTGAGTGATTTTCAGTATTTTTCTTGTATTTTGAATTATTCTATACTTATTTATTCATGATTGATGTCACTTAAATGACATAACAATGTGACGTAGTTTTAGGGTGAATCATACAGAATCTGTACACGTTTCTAGCAAATTCTGTTTTACAACACATGATCGTATCATGACGTTAATAAGCTAGAACAGTGTGTACAAGCTATTCTAAAATCACATGATACCGTGTTAATGTTGTCCAAACAGATTGCTGTAATTTTAAGCAGCTCATATTATAAGATTATTTTTAAAAAACGAAAAGAATTTTAGGAGGTGCTGTAATTTGGAAATGCCCTATACGGTTTCTATGCAGCAAACTAAAATTACAGTTCGAACTTGGAATCCAACAGCTAGAAGTCGACTCTGTGTCCTATTCAATTCGACCAGATAGGCTATTATTTTAGATCGTGTCTCAAACGCTACTTATAGTATGTGGGTAATTATGGAAATATCTCGGACTCGATCAAAGTCGAGTTCCAGTACATAGCCAGTTCTAAAACCTTCTCGTTGAATTAACTTCTATTTCCTTCTATTGAGAAACTGCAAATAACTGTGGTCAATAGCCAAGCTGAATCTGAAACAGAACGTTCTACTTTGAAGGATGGATAATAAGCAATTTTTTCATCTTCTTAAATTATTATAGTTGTTTTTCAATACGATGATGATGAACGATCACCGTCTTGACTATTTAAACCAACGTGCTCGACGAAGTTCATCTGTTCACAGCTAGAGACGCATTTTCACTTAGGAGGGAAGATTCCTAAATGATTCACACTGTTGTCAATGATATTTCGTCCATCTGTTCAGAACTTTATTCTAATAGCGCCTCCTTCGAATGTGTTCCCATACAATATTATGTTACTTTATGAATGTAGAACGATTCCATGCGGATGAACGAATGCATCATGATCTAAAACATTATACAGTAGGGCATGAAATCAAAAAACCTTACAAATGAGCCAAATCTAAAATAATAAGTTTGAACTTTTGTGATCGTTTTAGTCCCCACCAGAACAGTAAAACTCAGCTTTTCCTATCCTCGTCTGGTAGGAACGTCCTCTTATGTACCTTGATATTCACAAAAAAAAAACATTCACTGCCATACAAATCGATACTGATGAGAAACTTTTTAATCAAGTTAGCAACGAACCAAATAGTGAAATGCATCAACCTTGACGACAGTTTGTATTTAACGTAGGTCTTCAAAAATTTTTCGGAAAAATTACCCTTTAAAACTCTTTTTGACAATACGAAGCAGCTCTGTTATGTTGTCGATGTTGCAGGCGAAGAATAGAATAGGTTAATGAATTGTTGAGAATCTAGTAGATATAATTTATTCTATTATCAAATATTTGAAAAACAATTTATTAATTAATCAGAAAGACATTTCAATAGATCGAGTACTCGTCCTATGATAACAACGTTAAATTGAAGAAAGAAATGTCCTGTGAATAACAAAACTGTCAAAGCTCATATCTGTTCTAGAGATATGCGTGACCAAAATTGGAAAGTTTATCGAAACCATGAGAAAAAAGTTGTTCAAAACAAAAATAAAGATTCTAGTTGAATATTCTACGGAGTTTAGGAAATTATCTTATAAACCGAATTAATCAAACTGTTTCAAATAAGATCTTTCTATGTTAAAGAACCATATATTTGCCTGTTCTATTTAAAATCCCTATTGTGCATCACAAATCGTGACAGATGTTTTTGATATACGATCATTGATTGTCGTTCTGTTATAATAAATGAACTATTTCCTCATTACATTTCTTGAGGATTGAGAATGCCGCTCACACAAAATTTATTTTTTGAAAAAAAACTCAAAGTTGAGTTTTTATTATAGGATAAAAAATTTTCAGTTCTGGGAGGGCGACCTAATTTAGTTTTATCCGTATTGAATAAACATACTTAAATAATTTAAGTGAGACAGATGGTGCTAACTTACGTTATCTGTTATGTGCTTGTAAAAAGTCTATTAAAACATAGTATGCATATGCCATTGTAATATATTTTTTTTTCTGGATTTCAATAAAAAAATCCATGTCTCAATTTATTTGCCATTCGTTTCAGAATATAATTTTTAATCCAAACATGGAAACTTATTTCATTCGGTTCTACATAGAACCAATAGATTTTTTTGTTTGAAAGGTCTAATAAATGAGAGTAATAAACTATTTTGCGACGAGATTTTTTAATCATTCATTTCTTTAATGAATGAATAGAAGTGAATTTCAAAACTCTATTCGAATAAAAACGATGCATTAGTACTGATATTAATTTGAAATTGTTCTCAGTTCTGTATCTCTTAGGATGATGAAGTTATAGAGATTCTTCTTAAAGATATAAATAAGCCGAAAGTGCATTCTAATTTGTCATGTTGGACTGCAATTAATCATTTCTCATTAGAGCAACTCATTCATGAAAATGTCAACCAATATAAACTACTGAAGCGTTAATAGAATGGTGAAGAAATATGTCCAAAAAATTATGCTAGATACTAATGAAATGTTTATTTGTTCATCATTTATTTAATTTATTATTTTTCAGATGCCAGCCATTGTTATTGAACGTCCAAATCTACCGATAGAAATGCGTGATGCATTGAAAAAACATATTTTACGTGAAAGACAAAGAAAAAAAGAAGAAGCTGATGCAAATGAAGCCGATAAACAAAGAAGAC